CAAACCCTCCCAGACCACGGAGCCCGCCCCCTCCGCCCCCGGGTGACTCACCCGGACGTCCATGACCTTTGTGATCTTCCAGAGGTCGATGAGGAGCCCGATGAAGACGCTGACCTGCACCACGAAGTTGGTCTCGTTGTCCAGGATGTACAGAAGGACCACCAAGGACTGGAAGACCCCGAAGAAGACAGAGCGCACCGAGAGCCCCTCCAGGGACTGCCGGCTGTTCCAGAACTGGATGTCTGGGGAGGACACACAAAAAGGGCTCCAAACCATCAACTCCCACCTCCAGGGAGGGGTTTTCCCGGCCCTGGATCCCCGAGAATTCCCAAATCCCACCGTTCTTGAAGGCCAGGAACTCGAAGACGCTGTGGACGATGGAGACGACGATGGTCAGCGCCAGCAGGTAGGGGTTGGTCTCCAGCAGGGCCACCTGGAACGGGCACCAAAAGGCTCCAGCCCATCTCCTTCCCGAATATTCCAAGGGGATCATCAGCTCCATCCCAAAAATACTCCAGGGAGATCATCAGCTCCTTCCCAAAGACTCCAGGGAGATCATCCCCTTCCCAAATACTCCAAGGAGACCATGGAGATCATCAGGTCCTTCCCAAAGACTCCAGGGAGATCATCCCCTCCTTCCCAAAAATACTCCAAGGAGACCATGGAGATCATCAGCTCCATCCCAAAAATACTCCATGGAGATCATCACCTCCTTCCCAAAGACTCCATGGAGATCATCCCCTTCCCAAATACTCCAAGGAGACCATGGAGACCATCACCTCCTTCCCAAAGACTCCAGGGAGATCGTCCCCTCCATCCCAAAAATACCCCAAGGAGACCATGGAGATCATCAGCTCCTTCCCAAAGACTCCAGGGAGATCGTCCCCTCCATCCCAAAAATACCCCAAGGAGACCATGGAGACCATCCCCTCCTTCCCAAAGACTCCAGGGAGATCGTGGAGATCATCATCTTCATCCCAAAAATCCTTCAAGGAAATCATCAGCTCCATCCCAAAGACTCCAGGGAGATCATCCCCTCCATCCCAAACGCCCCAAAGGAGACCATGGAGATCATCCCCTTCCCAAATCTTCCAAGGAGATCATGGAGATCATCCCCTCCATCCCAAATCTTCCAAGGAGATCATGGAGATCATCCCCTCCATCCCAAATCTTCCAAGGAGATCCTGGAGTCCATCCCCTCCACCCCAAAAATACTTCAAGGAGATCCCAGAGCTCATCCCCTCCATCCCAAACACCCCAAAGCAGACCCCAGAGCTCACCCCCTCCATCCCAAACACCCCAAAGCAGACCATCCCCTTTATCCCAAAAATACTCCATGGACATCATCAGCTCCACCCCAAACACCCCAAAGGAGATCCCAGAGCTCACCCCCTCCATCCCAAACATCCCAAAGGAGATCATCCCCTCCATCCCAAAAACACCCCAAAGGAGATCCCAGAGCTCACTCCATCCCAAACACCCCAAAGGAGATCCCAGATCCCATCCCCTCCATCCCCTCCATCCCAAAGGAGATCATCCCCTCCATCCCAAAAACACCCCAAAGGAGATCCCAGAGCTCACCCCCTTCACCTCAAAGGAGATCCTAGAGTCCATCCCAAACACCCCAAAGGAGATCCCAGATCCCATCCCCTCCATCCCAAACACCCCAAAGGAGATCCCAGATCCCATCCCCTCCATCCCAAAAACACCCCAAAGGAGATCTTGGAGACCATCCCCTCCATCCCAAACACCCCAAAGGAGACCATCCCCTTCACCCCAAACACCCCAAAGGAGATCTTGGAGACCATCCCCTCCATCCCAAAAACACTCCAAGGAGATCTTGGA